GGTTATTCCTGCTGGACACCTGGGTTTTGCTAGACCCACTTGGATGCACTTTATGGATCCCACCAGGTTTTGGAGGGCAGTGACACAGGGTGGGGTCCTTTGGCCAGGGATSTCTGCTCTAATGGCAGCAAGGCTGGGTCAATGGCTGCTAGATCCTGTGTCAGGTCTGCTGCTGGGAAATAGATTTGGTACAAAATCCTAGAATTCAGATCAAGTCCAAAGGCATTCACACCCACAATGCTGCCTGGAGAAACCCTGGAAAGGGAGGAGRTTCTGCCCMGGAKAAGMAGKCRGGAGCCGGGCTGAGTGTTCCCCATTCCCCCTCAGGAGTGACCCCAGGGGACACCCCCTGCCTGGGCACCCCCCRTGTTTCAGGGTGGGCAGGGGTCCCGGGGTTGAGTCCCCCACGCTGCACGTACCGTATTTAGCTGCCTTTGCTGCTGCTGCTGCCGATGGCACYCCTGGGGACAAGGRAGACAGGGACCCTCAGCCACCAYGGCCCTGCTGAGCYRGACCRTGGGGACAGGGCTCCTGGGACAGTCACCTGCCACCCCGGGGACACCTGCGACACCGGGCACYGCCCCGGGGACGCCTCCGACACCGGGCACCAATCCGGGGACGCCTCCGACGCCGGGCACGAGGCCGGGGACRCCRCCRACACCAACACCGGGAACTCCAGCACCTGCAGGGAACCAGAGGGGACGAGTCAGAGCTGCAGGGACAGCACAAAGGTGGCACCTGCCATGGCTCTGCCTCATCATTGTGTCCTGGAGAGCAGAGCATCCACGGCCTCATCCAGGACAGACCCCAGCGGSGCAGGGCACKGATGACTGGACCGTTTCAGAAAGCTGGATGTGTTTCTGAACCCCACCAAGGTTTTGGAGGGCCGTGACACTGGGCAGGTGTCCCTTTGCCAGGGATCTCTGCCCTAATGACAGCAAGGCTGAGCCCTCGGGCATGAGATCCTGTGCCAGGTCTGCTCCTGGCAAAGAAAACCCAACAATTCATTTTGAATCTAAACCCATGAGCTGCACGTACCGTACTTAGCTGCCTTTGCTGCTGCTGCCGCCGACGGCACYCCTGGGGACAAGGGAGACAGGGACCCTCAGCCACCACGGCCCTGCTGAGCTGGACCGTGGGGACAGGGCTCCTGGGACAGTCACCTGCCACCCCGGGGACACCTGCGACACCGGGCACCGCCCCGGGGACACCTCCGACACCGGGCACCAATCCGGGGACGCCTCCRACGCCGGGCACGAGSCCGGGGACACCTCCCACTCCAGGCACCGCCCCTGGAGCTGGAGGGAAGCAGAWCAGTTGAGAAAACACCACAAACCCCCCACTCTGCCACTGCTGGGACACTGTGTGTCCCAGGCTCACAGGAAACTCCGGAGCACCGGCTCTGTCGTGGGCTCCATGCTTCCTTAAGCAGCTTCTCAGGGAATCTGGGATGCGCCCGGGATTTTGACTCCCATCTCCCTACACCCATCAGGGCTGTCGATCCCACCTGGCCACCCGGGATCTTGGGGACTCCCACGGTCCCCCAAGGCTGTGGCTGTCCATCCCAGCTGCCCCAGGGCTGGCATGTTTYCCCCAAAGCTCCAATGAGTGGTTTCCTACTCCCTTTTCTCCTACAGAGCAGCCGAGGAGGGGAGCAGAGGAGATGAGCATCACTGGGAGCAGCCCTGCACTGGGGGAAGGACGGCTCAGCAMAGTCACCGTGTCCCCGGACACCCCGCTGGCACCTGGCACAGCCAACCCACGTCTCACGGAGGAACCGCACACGACGGGCATGCTCTACCCCGTGCCAGGCTGCTGCGTCCCCAGGGGCCCTCAGCCCTTTGTCACTGCTGGAGCCGGGACAGGGGGCTGGGAGAGCACCCCAGGGGTAGGATAGGAGCTGCTGGGGCAGGTGGTGCAGCCATGCAGCTCTGGCACCGATGCGCGGCTCTTCCCTGTCCCGAGACCTGCCCGAGGCAGCGGGAACTCACCAAAAGCTCCCGCCTTCGCCGCTGCCTTCGCCGCTGCCGCTGCCGCTGCGGGCCCTCCGACTGCCAGGATAGCGGAGAGAGTCAGGGGTGTGGGACAGGGGAAGGAGCCCCTCCCCGAGCCCCAGGGCACAGCCCTCCCACGCCTCACCCCCAACTCCAGGGATAGCGCCGACTCCGACACCGGGTGCGACTCCCGGGATGCCGCCAACGCCGGGCAAGACTCCGGCTCCTGCCGCAGGGGAGAACACGGTCAGCCCGAGGATGCGGGGACACCACCGGCATTCCCGGGGCTGGGASGGAGGGAASGAAGCAGGGAGGGGAGGAAGCGGCTCCCCTCTGCGGAGATGGGTGGGGTTTGTGCCGCGGAGGGCGACTCACCAAGTTTCGCTGCTGCCTTTGCTGCTGCCGCCTGTGCTCCGACCCCTGCGGAGGGACACGGGCAKCCACTTAGGTCCCCAGACCATTCCCACCTCAGCCCCCCCACCCCACAGGGACCCTGGGGACCGGGCACTCCTGCCAGCATCTGTCCCACTCCRCCCTGGGAGGTGATGCTCCTCTCCAGACTGTCCCTGTGGTCTCCAGACAGCCAGGCAGTGCCCAGCGCCCCATGCAGGGGCCAGTGAACTGACAGGGTGCCCGGTCCCCTGCCATGCCCGTSCGAGCCACCCATCTTGGGGCTGCAGGATCAGAGTGTACCTGTCCCGGTGGGGTATCCTGCCTTTCCTGCCAGGATGCCGGCTCCTATCCCGCCGGGCCTGATGCCTGCAATCATAACACAGCAGCAGGGCTGGGTCAGGCACCGGCCAGGGAACAGACAGCGAGACAGGAGCAGCTCCCTCGGATCTCCTCCCCCTGGCGCCGGAGGATGCGAGGGGATGCCAAAGCCAGCTCCTCCCCACTTGAGTTCCCAGTTCCAAACATCCCTGTCTGGAGCTGGAGTGGCTCAGGATGTATCCTATGGATTAACATCTCCCAGCCTCGTGGCACAGGGTGCCAGAACAGTCTGCCAGGCAGGTCTGCAGCCATGGGCAAGGCACTTGGTCCCCAAGGGACCATCTTGCCCTGGGGATGTCCCTCACGCCACCCCAAGGGTCGATGGCCACAAGGTCGCGGTGGCAGCCAATAGGGCCACAAGGAGTGAGGACACCAACATTCACCAAGGGGCAGCTTACCATTGGTGTAGGGCAGTCCATAACCACCTGGGAACAAGAGGAGAGGAGAGAAGGGAGGTTAGCACATGGCTGCTGCCAGCTGGGTCCCCTTAGCCACACGGCATAGCCCCACTCTGCTGGGGCTGTGCAGCACGAGCCCCGGTGGCTCCTTCCACGGTGACAGGGAATCCTCCAGGATACAAACCCCCGTGGTGGAGCTGGCCCAGGAGATGCTGTTCTCCCTCACCTTGGAAGCAGTGACTGATAGAGCCGCCCCCTCTGAGCCCTGGCCGAGGGCTGTGGCGCCTGAGGCTGGTTCTGCAGGAGCCTCCCATGACCCCACTCCAGCGAGGGGTCCCCCGGGAGCCCCGCGGCAAGAGCTGTACCCATCTGGCTGCACCCTGGCCAGYTCCAAAGGAAAGGTTTTAATTGGAATCAGGGCTTGGGAGCCTCGGCTGAAACGTGACCTCGTTAGGAGGTCGGTGCGAAGAGATGGGGAGGGATTATGAGCTGGAAGGGAAACGTCTCCTTGCGAAAGAGCCGGGTCGCAGCACTGGGAATGGCGCGGGGATGCCCCAACTCGGTGGGGACCGTGGGCTCGGGAGGCAGCAGCTCCAGCTCCCATCACTGCTGGCAGCAGCCYGAGGCCACGGGCTGCCACATTCCTGCTGGGGACACCTCGAGCTGCACGCAGGGTGGGGGCGTCTCCCAGCGAGGGGGCCCCCAGTGGGYAGGGAGGCGGCTGCCTGCAGCCAGGATGGAATTACTCATGGCACAGCATCTCCCGGAGCACTGGGCGCCGTCCCCTCCCAGCAGCCAGCATGTGCGGACCAGATTTCCCTCCGTGCTGCCGGGCTGTCCCGTGGTGTCCCACACCAGCACAGCGGTGCTGCAAGGCAGAGGCTCCCCGGGAGCTGTGCCGGGTGTCCCCACCTTGAGGGCCACCCTTGCCCATCCTGGAGCACCTAGTCAGCACCTCGCTCACCCCACAGCTGGCAAAGGGGTGACACACGCAGAGGGGACTCCAAGGGCCAGAAGTCCCAGCCTTGGGTCTCCAAGGATTTTGCCGGGTCCAATGCAGCTCCACACCACCCCCAGCTGGAAGGGAAATGAGCCCCTCCCTCAGGGGCTGGGCCCGTGGGGATGTCCCTCACTGCCAGGGGGACTCAGGCCGATGGACACCCTGGGAAGGGCTCTGCACAAACTGGTGTCACCCAAGCACAGTGGTCCCCATCCCTACATCATCAACAGGACTTTGATCTCAGCCATAGCTTCAGGCTGAGCCCCCAGCAAGGTGGGTGACCCAGGGTCACCTCCTGAGTGGGGACAGCACAGGAGAAAATCATTGAAAGAGATGACTTTCCACTGAAAGCGTCATTTGTCCCACTGTCCCCTTATCACCTCTCAACCCGGAGCTACTGCAGCAGGGCCAGGGCAGGGGACACCCCATGTGTGACAGTCCTGGATCCCCCTGCAACACCAACACCAGAGCCTCCACAGCCAGGGCACTCTGACCCTGCTCTGCCAGCCCCAGGCCTTTAGAGGTGCCAAACCGGCCCCAGGAAGGTCTGGGGTGCCCAGTAAAACCCAGCTGGGGCCACCACCACTGTCCTGCTGGTCCCTGCACCCACAGGGCTCCCTGGCCATGGGGGCCGTGTCCTCCCCTGATACATTTGGTGAGGGTTGCCTGTGAGGGGGTTCAGGCTGGGTGGCCGGTCTGGGCTGTGGGTCAGCACTGGGATGGAGCCAGGCACAGCTGGCAGCGAGCTCTGCACCCCGGGCACCCCGGGCAAGGCACTTCGGGGCTGGGACCCCAATGGGATCCACCAGCAGCAGGGCCGAGTCTCCTTAGGGATCACAACCCTGCTGCAGGTGAGGAAAACAGAGCGGGCCAGGGACTCCTGACACTGTTGAAGCTACCAGGGCTGGAGCCAGGCTGGGACGGGCCAGGCCAGGCTGGGATGGGCCTGAATGAGCCAGGCCAGGATGGGCCTGAATGAGCCAGGCCAGGATGGGCCTGAGTGAGCCAGGCCAGGATGGGCCGGGCCAGGATGAGCCGGGCCAGGATGGGATAGGCCAGGCTGGGATGTGCTTCCCTGGCTAAGGCTCTCCTGCCTCCAGCAACTTGTTTGGGTGAGGGGGGAAATGCCCRTGGATCTCCAATGCACTCCTCAGCACCCCAGGGCAGGGGCCCGGCTCAGATGTGGCTGTCCTCCTCCTCCTYGGGTCACACTGGGGAGCAGTGAAATGGCAGTGTGGCCCTTGGAGGGCACCGAACCTGCCATTGTCCCTCCGTGGGCATGGGTGCCTGGGGACAGGCAGGCCTGGCACTCAGCACAGGGCTGCGAGGGGAAGGTGCCCAGGCAGCCTGGGCTGGGAAGGGGTGCTGAACTCCCTGGGCTGCCCTGGGCTGGGACTGAGCCTTGTCCAGGCAGGCAGTGAGGAGGGAGACCTGCCTGGAGCCCCYGCTGGCCTCGGCTCCAGCTCCTTGAGCTCAGACACCTGGCCCAGAGGAATGCCCAGCACAACCCCTGGAGCCACAGAAACCAGACTGTCCCTTCAAGGGCTCTKCCTGGTGCCAGCAGGAGCTGGCAGGGACACCCCAGGGTGGTCTGACCCCAAGTGTGTCCCCAGAAYGTGACCCTTCCTACCTTACATCAGCTGGAGAGAGGCACAGCTTTGTCCACATGAGCAGGGGGCAAGTCCAGGGGCACCACCCTGGCAGCTGGGCTGCCCCAGACAGGGCACAGCGGAGCCCCTGGCTCTGTCCTGCTGTCCCAGGGCCAGCACAGGCCTGCCAGGTCCGGGGGACCCGTGGGCACCGCGCCTGGGCCCCAGGGAACGGCGGGTCCTTGTCCTGACACTGCTGGGGATCATTGACCCGCAGCCCCGCCGGCTGTGGCGCTTACCTGGGAGCTTAGGAGCTTTGATGGGATACCCCAGAGGGACTCCGGGCTGCTGACCTCCAAAACCTCCCAGTCCTGCAAAGCCAACAGCAGACTCTCACCTGGAGCCCGYGCCACGGCTGCCAGCGGTCCTGCAGGGAGGGCAGCGCCCCAGGGCACCCCTGGAGAGCAGAGCAGGGGGYGTGGGGAGCCCTGAGGCATCTTCTGGTGTGGGGAGACCATGGCTGTGAGCAGCAGGCTGGGGAAGGAAGAGAAGGACAGGCAARAGGGACGGGACACTCACCAGGGATTCCTCCAAAGGCTCCAACTCCTGAAAGGAAGCACAGAGATGCCTGGGTGAGCCCTGGGCTGGTCTTGGAGGCCCCAGTTAGCCTGAGCGGGTTCAACTGCAGCTTGGCTTCGCTGCCAAACGCCCTGTAGGGCTCTGATCCCAAAGGATGGGCTGGGGGGCCAAGTTGGATCCTGCCCTGAGCCCACCCCAGGGCTCCTGGAGGGCTCAGGGRACCTACCTGGTGCTTTAGGCTTGACTCCAGCTCCAGTGGGCACTCCGGGCAGCACCCCCACRCCAGGGAAGCGAACACCTGGGCACAGACCAGAGCRTGAGCTGGGGCCTCRTCATGTCACTGYCACCCAGGGCCCCAGACCCCAAAAYCMTGTCACCCAGGACAGCCTCCTCCTCGGCGGCTTGCAGGGACCCCCTGTGCCAGCCTGCCTGCCCCTCCAGTTGCAGGGCAGGGTTTGCTCCCGGCCTGAAGCTGCCCAGGAGCAGACTGGGAGCCTGCAGGGACTATGGCACTGGAGAGGGGTCCTGCTGGTGACAGCAAACCCCACCCGGGCCTGGGCAGCGCTCTCTGCCATGGCGATGCTCAGTGGCCTGTGGCCAGCTGGGGCTCTCCAGCCCTCCAGGAGCAACAGACAGTGTTTTAGCCTTGCAGTCGTTTGGGTTGGATTTTTGGGTTTTGAGTTTCCTTTTGGTTGGGGTTTTTTTTCCCCCTCTTACAAATGTCTTTCATTATAACTCGAGCGTTCTCAGACATGGAAAAGACATTCCTGACCAGCAACACACTTCGGACAGTGTCGAAACATCTTGTTTTCACAAGTTTTCCTCCCCCAAATTACTTTGCACTGAGGAATTCCTCTCTCCCGCCACCTCCTCCCCCTCCTTCCCACGCCGCCAGCCCTGGMGGCTGTGCCAGCTCCTCTCCTAGAGCTGGTGCCGCCTGCTCCCGCCAAGCTTGGCACAGGACAGGGGTGCCGGGTCCCCCCATGCCTTTGGCACGGTGGAAATGTCACTGTGACCTCAGCCAAGGAGTTTGGAAGCTGCAGGGAGCAGCGGGAGGCAGGGCAGGGTGCTCTGCCCATGGGGGTCCTGACACTGAGTGGAGATCCTCTCTGGGGTTGGGGTGCTGCTGGGTGGGTTGGGGACACCTTTGGKGRCTGAGGAGCTGMTGGGTGGGTTGGGGACACCTTTGGGGGTTGAGGTGCTGCTGGGTGTGGTGGGAACCCCCTGGGAGGTTGGGGTGCTGGCAGTGGGTGGGCACCCCCAGCTCACCTGCGCCGGGGAGCACACCGCCCGGAAAAGCTCCAGGAATCCCAGCACCTGCAGGCAGAAGAAAATCAGGGATGAGGAGCAGGGTGGAGTCGCTCCCCGCCCCGGCCCCGGCTCCGGGGCCGTCACCTACCTGGTATTTTAGGGGGTTTCCCTGCCGCGCCCAGGCCGGGCTGCACCGCGCCCGGTACCACGGCACCTGCGGGCAGCAGAGAGCCCTGAGCCCCGCGCCCGGTCCTGCCCTCCCGGGGGACAGCTCTGCCCCAGGCTCGGCTCTGCTGGGAGCGAGGGGCGTTTCCTACCTGTGGAGACCCCGAGGCCACCGGGACCAATTCCACCCACGCCTCCAATGCCAGCACCTGGGGGCATTGGGAACAGGGGTGTACCRGGGGTGCCACCACTGAGCTGCAGGCGGCTGGGACCAGGATTGCTCTTGGGGGCCAAGGGGACACCCTGAGGTAGTCCCAGGGGTGAGTCCCCCATGCTGGGCACAGGGAYCAGGCAGCTCTGTGCTCTCTGCTCCTGGAGACTCCGGTCTGGCCAATCCCCCCGTGTCCGGGTCCCTCCGAATCACCGGGAAGCCCAGTGAGAGCACCAGCTCCTACCTGCAGCCCCCGAATGCGGCTCCGGGGGGAAATCTGTGCCGGCTCAGCCTCCCAGGGGACACCGGGAGTCCCTGGGGGTGCCCGAGTCCCCGGACTGCCTTGCCCAGATCCCTCAGCACTCACCAGCTTTTGCAGCAGCCTTGAGCGCGGCGGCCGAGGCGGCTCCAGGGAACGCCCCTCCGGGGAAGGCACCTCCGGGGAACAGACCCGCAGCACCTGCAGCGAGAACAGCCAGCGTCAGAGTGCCCAAAAACAGCTGCCAGGAGGGTGTCATGCCCCCACGGTGGGCGCAGGGGGTGGTGGCTGCGGGGKCTGCGTGGCAGTGCCAGGACTGGCGTCAGGCTAAGCGAGGCGGCATTAGCAGGCGCTGCCCTGTCCTGCATCCCCCGAATTCTTACCCCCACCCATGCCCCACCTGGCACACTCAGCACCTGCCAGCCCTGCAGTGGGTGCTGACACCCCTGGAGACCCTGGCTGGCCACCTGCAGGCCCTGTCCCTCTGTTGCAGACCCTGCAGGGAYCCCAGTGCCACCTCTCCTGCAGGGTCACCCCACTGTGGCCGATGTCATCATGGTGGGCACCTCAGGGCTGCCYGTTGGGTGGCTGCAGTGCCACAGGCCTGGGAAGGGCACCCTGCCCAGATGGGAGCCACCCAGCAGGCTAYGGGCAGCCATGGAGATGGGGACAAGGGACGTGCTGTCCCTAAGTGGGGTCTCTGGGGACATGGCCCCAGGGATGGCCCGGAGYGGGGGTGGACAGTGCTCACCTGGCTGCAGGCCAAGGGGGCCGAGTCCCCCAAGTCCTCCGACCCCTGGAAAGAGAAGCGGGGTGAGGTAGGGGGTTGGCCCGGGCCCAGAGGAGCAGAGTCCCTGGGGCACCGTGGCACTGTGGCCGTTGGATGGGAGCACGGCCAGGGTCGGGCACAGGGACAGGTGATAAATGTCCTCGCCAGCACTCGAGTCCTGCATCCCGTCCCCTTCTGCCTCACCCACCCCCCACCCTGCCGGGCCACGAGAGGACGGAACCAAAATGTTTATGGCTGAGGAATGAGTCCCTGGGTCTGCGGCCAGCRCTGCCTTCCAACATCTGGGGCTCATCAGCCCTCGCTCCCTCCAGGCGCAAATTCCAGTGCCGCTGGCTCGGGGCGCGGACACCGCTCCGGCTGGGCCTTCGCGGCCGCCCCGCGTTTGGTTTTAATTACGCCCAAATAAAGGGCCTTGTTTTTCTTTCCACGAGCTGAAATCTGAGCAAACGGAGGCTGCCGGCCCCTGCCTCGGGCTGCAGCTCCCACTGCGCAGCCGAGCTGGCTCCAGGGGCTGGGGGCRTGGGGTGTCCCTGCCCTGGGCACAGCGGGGACCCCCAGGGTGGCATGGAGGGGACACCAGGGTCTGCCCAGAGGAGCATCTGTCCATGGGGATCAACAGGCACTGGGYACAGAGTGCCAGGACAARGGGGAATGGTTTGAACCAAGAGAGGAGACATTTAGATTCGATGTTAGAAGAAAATTCTCTGCTCAGAGGGTGGTGAGGCCTTGGCACATGTAGCCCAGAGAAGCTGTGATCGTTCCATCCCTGGCAGTGTCCAAGGCCAGGCTGGACAGGGCTTGGAGCCACCTGGGACTGTGGAAGGTGTCCCTGCCATGGCAGGGGGTGGCACTGGACGAGCTTTGAGGGCTTTCCAACTCAAGCTACTCTATGATTCCAGGATCTCCAGATGCTGCACATTCAGTCCCTGCWGGCCCAGGCTCGGTCCCTTCCAGCTGTGCATCCTCCTGCCAGCATCTCCCCTCTGTCCTGTGATGTCCCCTCTCCTCAGCATTCCTAGGCTAAGCAAAGCCCAGCATGGGCTGCAGGAGCCCCTTCAAAAGGTGCTCAGCTGCGATGGCAGGTGGGCGGAGGCACTGCCAGTTGCCCATCAGGACACTGGCATAGTGGGCACAGGGCTATGCATGTCCTGCAGGAGCTCTGGCACAGCTGTGCAGGCAGCAGCAGCCCAAAGGGTGGTTTGGGGGGCTGGGGACAGGGCAGCTCAGCTGTGCAGGCAGCAGCAGCCCCAAGGGTGGTTTGGGGGGCTGGGGGCAGAGGGCAGCGTGCCGAAGCAGGGGGTGAGGGAGGGAGGCTCCTGGAGGCTGCGGCAAAGTGAGTGTGGCAGGGTGAGTGTGGCAGGGTGAGTGTGGTAGGGTCAGTGTGGCACGGTCAGTGTGGCTGGGTCAGCGTGGCAGGGTCACTGTGGCAGGGCAGGGCAGAGCTGGCTGTGCCTCAGCCACGGGACCCCTTTGCCCTGTGGGAGGCATGAGGGCAGCAGTGGCTGGGAAATCTCCCGGCCACGGGCATGGCTGGAGGTGCTGAGAGCCAAAGAAAGGTTTCTTACCTGGTTTGGGAGGTTTTCCTGCAGCYCCGAGTCCTAGGGGAGAGCGATGGACAGGGGTCAGAGCCATGGTGCCTCCGAGCAGCCCCGGGCAGGGGGGCACGTGTGGCACAGGGCCCGCCTGGTGGCACAGCCCCTGCCCAGCACAGGGCGGCTCTGCCGGGTGTCCTGCCCCGCTCTCCTGGGCACCGCCTGGGCACGGCATCCCAGCACTCACCTGCTCCCAAACCTCCGAGTCCAGCACCTGTGAGCAACAGCACAGTCTGAGCGCTGCCCCCGGGGGCATTCAGCACCCACCCAGACTCCCGGGATCCCTGAGAGGTGGAGAGGGTCACAAGGGTGCAAAGAGGTGGCCATCCCCCGTGGGATGTCCCCAAGCTTTTGGCTGCAGCTCTAGGGAGAAGCTGTGACCTCTGAGCACCTCCGGTGGCCAAGGCTGGGCTAGGGGCCCCCAGRGTAGGTCTGGTACTGCCACCCAGTCCTGTCCCCACACCGTGGGGCTGATGCTGAGTCCATGCTGGGCAGCCAGACTGGGTGTCCCTCTGTCACCTGATCCCAGATGTCTCAGAGGCATTCAGGGCCCGCCCTGGCACCTGCCCATCCTTGCAAACAGGGTGATGCCCCCTCCCGGTGTGCCTGGGGGCCCTTACCTGGGAAGAAGCCTGCTCCGGGGACTCCTCCGGGGATAGCACCAGGGACCCCTGCAGGAGAAGAGAGCCTCGTTAGAATCCCCCAGGAGCCCAAGGCAGGGGATGGGAGGCACCTCCTGCTGCTCCCTGCACAGTGATTGGCAGGTGGAGGGCAGGGCCCTGCCTTGCCTTGTGTCCCTGTGACCCCAGGGTGACAGCGGTGACAGGGCTGGGAGGTGCCCCGGCTGGGAGCCAGGGATGGCACCTGCAGGGGAAGGAGGGACATGGGGCTGGCTGCTGTTCAGCTTTGTCCCCAAACCCTGCCCCACACCACAGCCAGGSCTGTCTCTGTCCTCTGCAGTTTCACGTGGCTCTGGGGGTGGGTGGAGGCGTGGCCGTGTCCGTGGGGCTGTCCCAGTTCATCCCACAGCCTTTGCGGGTGGGCTGGGGACACAGGGGRACTGCAGGGCAGAGGGAAGCTCCACCCCTTGCAGCGGGGGAGGGGTCGTGGGGGGTTTGCAGGACAGAGCCGGGCGGGGGGGCTGCCGGGAGCCGGAGGGGCTGCTGTGGCCACAGTCCCTGTGGGAAGCTGCAGCCAGCCCTGATGCCACTGGGAATGGACTGCGGGAGGAAGGGCACTGGGGACACTCTGGGGGCATGACCTGAGGACCTGCAGTGACCTCCCAGCACCCCTGCCTGGCTGGGGGGGACCCAGCACCCAGGAGTGGGGTGGATACAATGGCACAGCCCTGGCAGCACCCCCGCGGGCTGGGCAGTGTCCGAGGGCTGGGCAGTGTCCGTGGGCTGGGCAGTGTCCGTGGGCTGGGCAATGCCTGGGGGATGGGCAGTGTCCGGGGGCTGGGCAGTGCCCGAGGGCTGGGCAGTGTCCGGGGGCTGGGCAGTGCCCGAGGGCTGGGCAGTGTCCGAGGGCTGGGCAATGTCCGGAAGCTGGGCAGTGTCCGTGGGCTGGGCAGTGCCCGGGGGCTGGGCAGTGTCCGTGGGCTGGGCAATGCCTGGGGGATGGGCAGTGTCCGGGGGCTGGGCAGTTTCCGTGGGCTGGGCAGTGCCCGGGGGCTGGGCAGGTTGTACCAGAGCCCGCGGGGGACACACAGGTGGCAGGGCTGGCACATCACGGTGAGGGCACATTGTGCTGCACGTCCCCATCACAGATGTGGGGCAAACTCTGGGGGTCCCCCCTCACTGTGCCCCCAACCTCTGCTGTGCCTCACCAGGGTGTCCCCTGGGCCCTGCCCACGTGTGTCCCCCACCCTGAGCACCTGGAACAGACCTCCCCAGTCCCCTGCAGAGATGCCCTGAGATGCCCTGGGCTGTCAGGASACACCCGTGTGTGACACGGCTCTGRGGCTGCGCGAGCACAGGAGGTGTTGAGACACCAGGGGCAGGACARGACACTCTGGGGCGGCCCAGGGATGGGGGACAGGGATGCGGGGAGGGGCCCGTGCCAGGACCCATCACACAGCCCCAAAGAGTGGGGCCAGCCCTGCGCCCCACAATGTCCCCTCCCGAGGTTCCGCCGGTGTCCCTCGAAGGGGACAGGAAGGGACACATTCCCCGCCTACACCGCCACCGCAGCTCGGATAAAAACAGCCCCAGCTCCTTCCTCGCCTCCAAACAAACTCCAAGCGACCGCACACCACCAGCTCTCCCCTCCCAGCCCCACTGGGAGCCGGTGCCGAGGAGTGGCCAGGGGACCCCACGGAACGGCCAGGGACCCCCACGGCATAGCCGGGGACCGTCCCCCACCCAGGAGAAGATGCTCAGCGCCCATCATGCTCCCAGTGCTGGCTCCCAGGCAAGGTTCCCAGTGCTGGGGTGACAATGGGGGACCCGGGCTGACCTCCTCTATGCCTCTGTCATCCTGTGCCAGCACTCCCTGATGGAGACCCCTGGGGAAGCTGGGATGAGGCAGGATTTCTCACTGTGTCCCTGTAGTTGGTGGGGACCCTGGAAACGTCCAGGTGTCACCTGCCCAAAGCCACAGCTGCCAAACCAAGCCCATCATCATCATCATCATCATCATCATCATCATCATCATCATCATCATCACCACCCTCCTAGGGCACTAGGGATCCTCGCAGAAGGGTCCCACTGTGGTGACCCTGTCCCTGGCATCCCCCAGGCACCATCCCAGAGCCAGGGCACTGCGCTCATCCCCAGTGCCTGGCCAGTTTTGGGAGGATTGCCCCATCTGCCACATCTGTGGCCAGGATCAGGAGGTGGAGGGGGTCAGCAAGGCCTGGCAGGAGATGGGATGGCCTGGAGGCACTGGGATGGGTGKCTGGGTGATGGTGCCAAGTGGCTTTGGGGGGACAAACCTTTCCCTCAGGAGCTGCCCCTGAGCAGCTCTGCTGCCGGGCTCTGCTGCCAGGCTCTGCACTGCCCTGAAGCTCCTTCCCCAGCTGCTTGCCCTCACCCAGCTCAGGGCTGTTCCCTGCTGCAGGCACTGCCGGGGGGTTTCTCCAAATCTCCCCAGCATACCCAGTGCCTCYCCTGGCAGCACCACCGACACAGGTGTCAGTGACAGCCCACACACAGTGACACTGTGACCACACTGGGCTCTGGCCATCGCTCTCTGGCCATCTCTGTYCATGCCCAGCCTCAGGGGCAGCAGCTCCCAGCCCAGTTTGGGGTCTGCATGCTCCATTTGTCTTCTCCACCCGTTCCCTTGGCACATCAGGGAAGGGGAAACTGAGTCAGCATCTTCCCAGCACTGGAGGAGCTCTGTGCTGCCYCTGCTCCGAGCCTGCAGAGCCCTGGGAAGGGGATTTTCCTGGGCTCCCAGCCTGCCTCCTGTSCTGGGCTGGCTGTGAGCCCACATCCCCCCAGGGATGGCTTCTCAGTGAGGGGAGAATCGGCACTGCTCTCATGCGGCCCCGGCTGTGGTGGGGATTGAGCCACGGAGGTGCCCAGGATCTGGTTGGAGTGTCCCTGTGCACAGGAACGGGATGTTTCCCCCCAGCTGCATCCACAGGTGCGGATATCGGCGCTGTTCCGCTGCCGCCGCTGCTTCCCATCCCCTTTGGATCGGCCGCGCCGTTTCTGGACGCACCGCGGCTTCAGCTCCTTTCTCAGGCCAGGAACACAGAGCATTTCTGTTCTGTGGGTTCTGAGACCAGGCTGAAAAAAGCACCACAGGGCACCCCRGTACCGCGCCCCGGCTCTGCGCCCGCGGGCACCCGCTCCCGGAGGAGCCTCAGCGCRAAACCACCAACATTTCCTCTCTTCCCTCATTCCGCTGTTTGCTTTTTCTTGGGAGAAAGTTATGGAAACATTCAGTCTCCAAGCGACTTTGAAGCTACGCTGCATCCTGGGCCGAGCTCGCTGGTAGCAGCTCGGGGGGAGCGGGGGGGCTGTGCCGGGGCCTGGCTCCTCTCCAGCCCCCCCGAAGCTCCGGCTTTCATCTCCGAGCTCCGGCGGCCGCCTGCGCCCYGCCAGTTGTGCGGGGAGGGAGCAGCCCCAGCAGGCCAGCGGCCGCCTCGGAAGGGGAGATGCCATCCCAGCCCCACCCTGGGGACTCTGCGTGTCCTTGGAGGGTCCCCACAGCACCGGGCTGGTGCCAGCACACCCCGTGGCTGCCTCTCTGCACCTACCCGAGCTGCGCCCCGTGGGCCCAGAGCCTGCGGGGCTGGCACCTCCCCGGGGTAGTGCCTCCTGAGGGTGTCACTGCCAGGGGATGTCACTCCACGCAGGAGAGGATGGATGCCCCAGGTGCTGGCACAGCCTGCCCTTGGCACCTTTAGGGACCCCACCAGCACCTTCCCCGCACAGTGACGGAGTCCCCATGGAGCCGGCACAGCTCTGTTCCCCAGGGACAGATCCCCAGGGGCTGATGSTGACCCACTACCAGGCTTTTCCTGAGTGCTGCCAGCTCAGTTCTTGGCACTGCTCTGAGGGGACAGTYTGGGTATGAACCCCTCAATGCTGGGATGTCTCAGGGGTCCCTCTCCTGCCAGGCTGGTTTGGAGCTGTGCTGGCAGCCAGTGCTGGAGGACACTGCCCTGAGTGCTCTCCAGGTGCCTCCCCAGCACCCTGGGATCCCCCTTCASCGTGCCACCGTGCCTCTGTGCCAGCATTGTCCCCACGGGCTGCTGTGCCAGGAGCAGGGATGAGACACCAGGCTGGGACACAGAGCCTGAGCTGGCCGGGCTGTGTCACACGGCTGGAACATAGAGACACTGCCCTATTCTCCATGGCCTAACCTTCTCCGGAGTCTTACCAGCACTGGGACCATCCCCAGGGTCAGGTCACCTCCTCTGGGAGCTGCTTCCGAAACCAGCAAACACCCCTGGGGACTGAGCCAGGCTATGGAGTACAGCCAACAGTCCCAAACTGCTCGGGAACTGGTGCAGGTGTCACCRGGGCTCCAAAGTCCTGCTGAGACTGTCCCAGCTGGCCAGGGCTTGAGGGATCAGAGCCACCAGGGTTCAGCAAGCCACTCTGGGGCATCAGTGCCAGAGATAGAGAGTGCCCAGGACTGAGCACGTCCCACCCAGCACCCTGAGCGGGATCAGGCACTGGCAGCAGCTCTGGGGTCCCGCTGCCAGCCCAGCCAGGGGCAGCCAGATCATGATCGGGGGCTGCAGGGCACAGGAGCTGTGGAGGACTCTGCCTGGTGACAGGTGGCCCAGCCTGTGGCTGCTCCGGTGCCCACCCAGCCCTGGCACTGCCCACGGGATCCTGCCCCCCTCCTGCTCCTGTCTTCCTCAGTCCTCTCTGTCTGATGAGCCCTGCACGACAGCCCCAGCACCGGCTCCATGGCCAGTGGTGGCTCTGCCATCACAGGCTCCCCATGGCCCGCCACCCGGCTCTCCAGAGGTGACTGTCCCATCCCTGGTGGTTCTGTCCCCTCCTCACAGCCCTCTGCCCAGCTTGGCCACTGCAGAGGGCTCCGAATCTGTTCTCAGCCTCCTGACCTGAACTTGAAACAGGGGCTGGTGACCAGGCAGGCACCTGCTGTGCTGTCCAGGCTGTGTCACACAGCTGGGGACACAGAGCCTGTGCTGGCCAGGCTGTGTCACACAGCTGGGGACACGGAGCCTGTACTGGCTGGGCTGTGTCACACGGCTGGGGCACAGACCCTGTGCTGGCCGGGCTGTGTCACACGGCTGGGACACAGACCCTGTGCTGGCCGGGCTGTGTCACACGGCTAGGACACAGACCCTGCATTGGCTGTCACCTCCCCTCCCCGGCCGCATGTGCTGCACCTGCGTGTGCGTGGGCTGGGGTGTCACACAGCCCTGGGACCGCGCTGGGGCAGGGACCCGACGCTCGTGGCACCAGCTCGATGAGGGCCCCCCGCACCCCCAGCCTGCGGTTCGGGTGGGTCGGGCCGCTGTGCAGCTGCAGCAGCCCCGGGGCTGTCGCGGCCACACACTGAGCAGCAGCTCGCACACAGCGACTGCGGGACGCTGCCACCCACCCGCCGCCCTCAGCCCCCGCTGCCATCGCACCGTGGGGTGACARTTGCCACCTCTCCCGGCCACGCACTTGTAAGTCTCGTGGGAGTTTGGTGGCCACCCCTGCTGTTCTGCCGGCGTGTTCCTGAGCCTTTCGTGCCTCCAAGCTTCTCATGTCCCCAAGCCTATCATGTCCCCAAGCCTCTGGTGTCCCCAAGCCTCTTAACGGGACACAACCCCGCAGCCTCCCCCTGACAAGTGCTTGGCGCAGCCGTGCCGTTACCGACTGTCCCGTGTCACCCCCCTCGGCCACATCCCATCCGGCCGGGCATGGCACAAACCACCCGCCGGTTTGGGGAGCAAAGAGCCCTCCGCGGAGATGGCACCCGGCGGGATGCCCACCCGCCCTGGATGTCCCCAGAGCAGCGCAAGGTGGGTGGCTGTCCCTGGCCGGGGCGAAGGGCTGCCCGGAGCTGAGAGGTGTCGCAGCCGCGGTGCCTGCGGAGGGTCCCCGCAGGACCGGAGCGAAGCGCTGCCCGGGGATCGGGAAGGAGCCTTTCATTCCTTACCTCCTTGCTGAGTAGCCGGGAGGATGGAGAGGAGGAGGAGGACTCCGGGGAGGAGGGGTGCAGCTGCCTGCCTTGCCATCTCTTGAAGCAATGCCCCCGTGCTCCCGCGGGCTGTGTGTTTTATCCCAGAGCTGCTTAATTGTTGCTTCCAAGGATGCGAGGGGAAGGGGAGGGGGGTGAGGAGGGGAGGGGATAAGGAGCGGGAGAGGGGGGAGAGAGGCACAGGACACTACGTCATGAGGAAAGGCCAAACACACACGAGCCTCTCCCGCCGATTGGGCTGGCTGCTCGGGGAGGGTTTTTTTTTTTTTTTTTCTTTTTTCTTTTTTTTTTTTTTTTTTTTTTTTTTTTTTTTTTTTCCTCACTATTTAAGCTTTTTTTTCTGTGATCC